GTTATTTTCAATTAACCTGGTACATCCTCTGACAATTTTTTATATTTCTTTTTATTCATTACATTCTTTCTCTTTCTCGACATCTGTTAATATTTATATCCGTGTACATATAATTGTAATCGTAAAAATTTTCAATCGTACGCTACAGTATGTGAGTACATAAAAATTCGTGGCATTATCGTGTGTCGACCAAAAGTAAAACAGTCATCGAAAAAGGTTTCAAAACGTTTCGGAATCATATGGATCGAGTAAAATAACATATCCAAATAACTTTAACAGTTGACAGTACATATTGCAAGGAGTTCGCGTCACACTACCAATCCTTTGTTTCCAAACAATGTCTTCCTACGCTGCTCGAGGTAAGAAAGTAAACAGAGTTGTTGACCAAAAAATATTTGCACACGAACAAGTGCAAATTGTTTGTTCGATGCAATCAAACGTTGTCCGCAACAAACCTTTATCTAGTGAATCGTTAATACACAGAGGCTGGTCGTCCCTCGAGACACTCGGATCCAACACTTCCATATTTGTCTGCTATTTTACACTGGACACTTTCGCGAGAAACTATTCGTTGTTACGAGCATTGAAGATCGCTTATATTTTAGCGGATAATATTCACTTATGACATCGATGCGATCACGATAATATAAATGTTGTACAATTAGATAATAATATTGAATTTTAAGCAGTATGACGCGTATCAAGTAATCGTCGTCTGCTGTCATCACCACTGGCGCGAATTGCTGCACAAGTGCGCACACGTCATTCAAGAGCGCACACAAAGCCGAAAAATTTGCGCAAGCGCTTTGTGTGCTTTCTCTCGATTTTACAATTATTACAATGAGTTACCTAACAATAAGTACTGCACAATTGACATGCAATTTACTTATTAAATAACTGGAAATTTGAATTGGAAAAAAAGAAAACTATGCGCAGGTGTTTGTAATTTTTATTCATTGCATAAGAATTAAACCACACAAAAATTAGAAACAGAAAGTACACCATCCACATCATTCCAACGTACACACGTATTTAGAGAGAACAACATGTAAAAAACATATATTTTGCCATAAAACATTTCTTTTTATTTATTGTCTAATCACAAAATAATTATTAACATGTAATTTAATGATGTGTAATTATCTAAACTTTGCTAATTAATCTTGCAAAATGGTTCAAAATTTAGTACCAGAATTCTGTTCATTTTTAGAAAATAACACAAACTATGTAGAATGTGTAAACATTTTCCTTATTAACTATGTACATGTCAGTTAATTATTTGAATCTTACAATTTCGATAGTTATTTTTGGTATTCATCAAAATCCATGAACATTAAAAATGTATAAATTTTAATTTTCAATAATGTAAATAACCAATACAGTTGTTATGAGAACAATGTAATTTTTAGTATTTTAAATATTTCGTTTTTTTCGACTACTCCTCCTTTTAT